GAAAGCCAAGTATAGATCACATTACAAGCTCGAATTCTGAAACCCAGAACCAGAAGTTCTAGGTTCTTGTCCCCAGCAGAGTCACCAGAGCTGTCACACCTCTTTTTTTCCCCACAAAAGATATGTGTATGGATTGTTGTGGGTTAAAGAATTTTTTCAATTAAAGTGACAAATTTGAGTAGGGATTATTTTATTTATAAATCCGCCACTTGGAATTGATTTTTTGGGTGTTCCAAGTCATCTTTTATTTGAATCCCTATTCAAAGGAAGATTTGACTCTTTTATTATTGGTCTGCAAAAACAAAGTCCGGGTAAGGAATTATGTTGACCGGGGAGAAGATGTAAGGTATTCCCCAAGTTCCGTGGTTCCAGCACGGTCGCTTTATTGACTACAACTTGTCTTGAATTAATTTTAGATAAATTGTGATTTATTGGTTTCCATGTTTTATCTATTCGCTTTTAATTATTAAAATATGGAATTATCTTTGAAACGAATCACGTGTGTGAATCTGTTTTATTTATTATGCCAAAATCTTGTCACGCGTACGTGTATATAATTAATAGCATTTTATTATTAAGATTGTTTAGGCCAAAGTTAACACATACTTCGATTTTATTTTTGAAAATCACTATTATGCCACACGAACGTATACATAATCGCGATAAACTAATTAAAGGCGTACCTAAAGCACTCTATCGGTGTTCATTATTTAGATTATTGTAAGGTCATGAATTATGAAATTACTTGTGGAAGAAGTGTATGATTTTAGATATTTGAATAAATAAACCATCTTATACCAATACCCTACAATCCAACAAGAGTGAGTTGCTCTAGTGGTAAACACCCTCCACTTCCAACCAAGAGATTGTGAGTTTGAGTCACCGCAAGAGCAAGATGGGGAGTTCTTGGAGGGAGGGAGCCGAGGGTCTATCGGAAACAGCTTCTCTACCTTAGGGTAGGGGTAAGGTCTACGTACACACTACCCTCCCCAGACCCCACTAGTAGGATTATACTGGGTTGTTATTGTTGTTGTTGTTGTATGATTAAGTATATAGCATTTAATGACTAATTTACATTATTATTTATAAAGTTTAAAGGCAAATAAATAAAATCACATGAAATAAGATTAAAAGAATAGAGGAAAGAATAAACCTTTAATGCAAAGTTTCCAATTAAATGAGTTTCCAAGAACATGTACAGTGACTCAGACGAACGTCGAACAGGCATAAGCAATAAGAACATCAAAGCTAGTGAACGGAGCTCCAACGGAATCCTCGACCTCGACTATTGACACGAGTAGAAATTCCCTTAGCATAGAAGAAGAAAATAAAATTCTCTCAATTCCCTCATCTCTTCTTTTTTTCTCCTTCTCCCTCTTCTTTTCTCCTCACATTTCTCTTCTATTTATAGAAAAAAAACTTCGGAATTTTTTCAGATTTTTTATTTATTTTATTTTATTATTTTATTATTTTTTAATTAAAAAGAATTTTCACTTCCCATTTTTCTTCTTTTTTTTTAAAAAAAAAATAATTCCCTACTTTTCTTTACTTTTATTTTTTAATTTTTCACTTTTTTTACTTTACCTTTTTTTTTTCCACTTATTTTACTTTTTGTTTTTTAATTTTCACTTATTTTACTTTTTTTTTTTTAAATTTTCACTTTCTTTTACCTTTTTTTTTAAAAAAAAATTCAGCTACCTTTACTTTTATTTTTTAATTTCATCTTTCTTTTACTTTTTATTTTTTAAAATTTTCACATTCTTTTACTTTTATTTTTAAAATTTTTCACTTTCTTTTACTTTTTTAAAAAATCAATTTCCACCTACTTTTACTTTTAAATTTTTATTCCATACTTTTTATTTTCTTATTATTTTATTCCCATCCGAAAATTAAAAAAAATATTTAATTTTTTTAGTTTTATTTTAATTTAAAATAAAGATAAAAAATAAAAATAATACTAATAGTAATAATTTAACCTTTTAAATTATTTTTAATTCTTACCCTATATTAAAAAAATATAACAAAGCTAAAAATATATATATATATATATATATATATATTAAATTTCTAAAAATATTTACATAGTAGAAGGTGGTAAAAATTCAAATATAATAAAAATTTAGGTTATCACACTTGATAACCTAAATAATTTTTTATATTATAAGTGTATAAGAAACTCATCTTACAGATGCAACGATTCTGTAAATATAGAGTATATATTTTTTACTCCAGTTGTGCATATAAGTTAAAACTCTTTTCTTTTCAACTCCCTGAAGCCAAAGCAGGAAAAAAAGAGCACACATGAGAAGAATTATGGCCCAAAGCCTTTCGGCCACTAATTTTTTGAGAGGAATTTTCATAAAAATTATAGTTTAAGGTCTAATAACTATAATTTGTCTATTTACCATTTATAACTATTGTTCAATTATTATCAGCTTGTATCATTTGTATTTAAACGTGCAATAAATACAATCTGTATCAACTGTATTCGTGTCTGCAACGAATATAATCAATATCGGTTGTATTTATCCGTGTAATGAATACAACCAAGGCAAAATACATGGGTGTATACAAAGGATAATGGATGTATCGACCGTATTCGTATCGACTGCATTCGTTTCACCCAAGAAGAAATATAAAAATACAGAAAAATAAAATGCTCTTGTTGAGAGCCCGAACTCGAGACCTCCGCTTACTAAGTGGACGCTCTAACCAACTGAGCTATGAGGGTTTGTTGCTCTCTTGTTTCAGTTCAAAATAATTAATCTCTTGGTTTATGGATTTGCTATAAAATTTAAATATAGCCATGAATGGTAAATTTACTGAAAGTATAGCTTCGAATGATAAATACTGTGCATATGTTTGATGTGTCGCATAATTTTCCCTTTTGGAGGTAAAGCAGACGAGGCTTATTAAGTGACTCGGGATAGTTTAGGAAAATTTTCATAAATAGCCAATTTTCATCCTTGTAATTGCAAAAACAGCCACTGCCATGGAAGTTCAATTTATACACGTAATTACAGGGGCTGAAAAGTGGCTATTATCCTGGAATTTCATTTATAAAAGTTGGAACTTTCACGACAGTGGCTATTTTAATTTGGGGGCTGAAAAATAGCTAGCCCAAGCTATGATACTATAATTTAGAAGTCATTTCAAGACTTGAAGTTTAATAGTAGTATTTTTTGGGCAGCAAGCTTTTGATCTCGCTATATTTGAAACCCAACTTCTGCATCTGCTAAATGAATGAAGTTTGAGCTTAAAAGGTTCTATACAATGCCTTGGCCCAGCTTTTATAAGTTAGGCAGTCCAATGCTTACTTGGGGGGAGACTTGCATAAATAGGATCATTTGAGGCAACTGTTTAAATTTTATCCCCGTGTAAGGAAGTTTTGCAAAAATAATCATGGCACTATACATTTGGAAGAATATAAAACTTCATTTACAAGTTTTGCGAGGTAAGGCATAATTTTGATACTATCCTCATTCTGCCGTGCACAAGGCATTCCGCGTTCGCGCAGGGTCTGAAGAAAGGTCGCACCCAAGGGATGTGATGTAGACAGTCTACCCTAATGCAAGAAGCATTAGTGGTTGCTTCCACGACTCGAATCTGTGACCTATAGGTCACGCAGAGACAATTTTACTATTGCTCCACACCCCCCTCCCCCCTCTTTCTACCTATCTTGTTAAATTGTTACATGTTTTGTCGAATGTGCAAAATTTGCATGTGTCGTTTAATTATTTACAAATTTTGCCGGATGGACAAGACTTGATATTATTTTAATTCTACTCATCTTGTCATCTTATAAATAACACGATTGTGTCTATTATTTTGTCGAATAATAATAAAAATTTGTATGAAATTATCATTTTATAAATAACGCGATTGTGTATATGCTTTCTTACACCCTCTATGCACAGAACATGAACATCATCTCTAATTGAATTCCTCTGTGTCATACAACAACAACAATAACAACAACAACCCAGTATAATCCTACTAGTGGGGTCTGAGGAAGGTAGTTTGTACGCAAACCTTACTCTTATCCTGGGGTAGAGAGGCTGTTTCCGATAGACCATCGGCTCCCTCCCTCCAAGAACTCCCCACNACTCACGGCTGTTTCCGATAGACCATCGGCTCCCTCCCTCCAAGAACTCCCCACCTTACTCTTGGGGTATCTTGAATTTACAACGTCTTGGTTGGAAGTGGAGGGTGCTCACCACTATAGCAACCCACTCTTGTCCTCTGTGCCGTACTGATTGGGGAAAATTTTTTTAGTCAAAAGGATAAGAGATTTAACAATTAAAATCCCTAAAAAGTACAATGTTTGGCATATTTCGATNCAGTAGTATTCGTAATATCATTACAACTGTTGCCATATCTTAACTCTAATAATGCAAGTAAATTGCTTAGTTGTAAGTTGTAACACGTTAATTTAGCATTATCGAAGGCTGGCAGCTTCGTTACGGAAGAATTAGAAACAAAAGTACGTACTTAATCAGTTTAAATAATATGTTAAATCTTCTACAAAGATATCATGCTCATGACCTTGGAAACATAAGCATGTTACCAAAGATTTTATTCTCTCGCAGATATTTCAAATCTACCCTTCAGTAATAAAACTATGAGTAGCAGCAATTAAAAAAAAAAAAAAAGTAGCCCGGTGCACAAAGTATTCCAGGTTCATGTAGGATCCGGAAAATGGTCGCACCCCAAGGTGGTATGATGTAAATATTCTACCCTGATGTAAATATCAGTGGCTGATTGTATAATTCGAACCTGTAATTTATAGGTTACACGGAGACAACTTAACCAATGTTCCAATGCTCCCCTTCATGAGTTGCAACAATTTAATAGAGTTTAATTTTGTGTACTGACAACATATAATTTCCTTGCACGAGAAGTTAAGATGACCTATAACAATAGGTCGATATGATATACTATAAACTTATTATAACAGGTTAAAATACAGCTTAGCAGCAAATGGAGAAGGTAAATAAATAGAGACAAAATCAAAGCTTCAATTTTATACTAATTGCATGGACAGGAGAAGTAAAATACACTTGGCTATTTTGCTTAAAACTGCAACAGTTGCCCAGTTCAGTCAATAAACCCTAAGATATTGCAGGCTATTACCAACAAATGGTCAAAGGTTTCTGCTGTCTCTTGCCAATTAACCTTTTTAAAATTCTAACTAACTAGAGTACCTCTTTTTTTGTTTTCCTTTTTTTTTCATTAACTTTAAATACAAAGGTAGAAGGTAAAAAAAGAAAAAAAGAAAAAAAAGAATTGTCAAATCTGCATTACAAGGAGGCAATCTTAGCTTAACACCAGAACAAGGAAAAAGAAAGAAAAAATCATCCCTAAAATTTCAACCATCACTAAATCACCCCTCAATTTGCAATGAAGAGCCAGCTGCATCCAAAACAATCAAATGGTTTCTTTATTAAACAAGATGAAATTAATCACACCAGAGACTAGTTCAAGAAAGATTTCAATATGATATACAGCAAGCACTTATTCTATATTATATCCAAAGGCGAATGGTGCCAATGTTTTATAGGTTAAACTGAACTCAGTACTTTTAATATTGTTGTTGCACCCGTGTCAGATCCTCCAAAAATACACTAATTTTGGTAGATCCGATGTGTCCCAGCGGCTTTTTTGAAGAGTTCGAGTAACATAACTTTCAACGCATAACATATATTGAACATAGATTTATATGTGAAAAAACACTAAAATTTCAAAAGTATAATGAATTCAGCGGTAAGAACCTATCAAGTTTAAATCTTGGATCGATCTGCCTCTGTCGTAATAATCAACTAATGATCCAATTCATGTAAATAGAAAGTTAGAAGGAATAAAAAAAAGACTAACCAGAATCATGTTGATGATCAGAACCATGTTCTCTCTGATGATTTTCCATACACTGAAGTAAGTACTTAAAAGTCTCAATCTCACAAGGAATTGTAAGTCCACCAGTATGATCAAATCCAAACTCTTCTTCAACTTTTTCCAACAAAACTTTGAACAAAGGATCACTAAGATAACTTGTAGGAATTATAAATCTTCTAAGCTCAGGTCCAACATAAACAGCTAAATAACCTTTAGGAACACCATGTGGTGGCTCTGGACTCTGGCAACTCTCGTCGTCTGAATCGCAACATACATTTGAACTCTTTAACCTCTTCATTATAGCTGGTGATATGCCTCCATAAATATTTCCATTACTATTGTTATTGGAAGATCGAAAATGGTGGCCATTAGTACAATGGTTTTGGTTGTTGTTTGCTTTGGGACTAAGTGTCACATTCTGCCATTTATGTAATAACTCTTTGAGTCTCACAATTTGCCTAATACCTGTCACTTTGCTTCCAACTCCATGATCTTCCATTTTTCCTTTGCTTAATTATCACAACAAGATTGATAATGATAATGAGAAGAATATTACCAAATTTGGATTGACAAAATCTTCGATTTGCTCTCGGAAAATTTGACTCATCAAATCTTGTTCCTCTGTATATTCATTGTATATAATGTATACCACAGGTATATAAGTTTCCTACTCAAGTTCTTGGAAATATGACAAAAGCTCTAATAAGGAAATTAGATAGCTTAAATAGCAATAACCTGATATGTTAATGATTTTTTGATATCCTACTTAACAAGGGAAGATTAAAGACAGATCCATTGTGCTAAGACACATTAAATTAGGGTTTTCTTAGCTGTATTATTTTAGTGATTCAATCCATGTGAAATCCACAACGCGTATGACTTTACTAGAAGGAGAAGCATTTTCCAATCACATGAATAGCAGCTAATATAATCATTTTAGCATTTAAAATACTACTACTTATTAAATACTTTAAAGTTTTGGATACATACATCCGAAGACATGAAGATATAAAATTAGTTTAATTAATATCATAAGAGATAAACAAAGAGTGGCGGTGATATGAAGCTAATTGCTTTTCTCCCTTCTTGATTTAGTAGTTAATTAAGACATCCTATTATTACTCTTTGGGCTCAAAAGATAGAAGCAAACGATAAACCAAGTTCACTAGATGTAGGGGTATTCGAACCTAACCGAAAAATCGCATCAAAACAAAAAATCAAACAAATCGATTAAAAAACCCGACTAGGTTTGGTTTGACTTGGTTTGGTATCGAGTAAAAAAATCCGAACCAAACCGACATATAAATATATAATTTTTATATATATTTTTAAGACTTTATATTGAATTTTCTTTTAAAAAATGTAGAAATATTTGAGATCCTCTCATGTGTTAACCTTGAAAGCGTACATTGACGGAAAATTATTGGTAGACGACTAAGAAAATAACTATCATGTGTTACTAACAAAATTCTCCCATTAGAATATTTTAATAGATCATATGTTTGTCAATTTTTTCCATATTTACTAAACATATATTCACTTATCAAAACTTTATCTATAACTTTAACAAAGTAAGATTCGAATAATATTCATGTAACAAAAAACTCGAAAATCCGAAAAACCTGACAAAACCGAACCAATCCAAACTGATATAGTTGGTTTGGTTTGATTTTGATAAAACGAACCAACCCGGTCCATGTACACCCCTAATTAGATATTCTTTTTTAGGAATCTCAAATTCTCATGTGTAAAGAATATTTTTGGTATTTTGGTTAAATGCTACATTAATGAGTAAGACAGATTTGATTAATCCAAATTTAAGCCTAAGAATTTCATAATTTGGGTAAATTATCAGATTTCATATACACCCTAAATCAAGCATAAAAAAATTAAAAACAGATCATTGCATATCTTCTTTGTGATTCGATCCAATATTCATGCAGTGATACTGAAGAGAAGTGGTAATGAAATTAAGAAATGATCCAACCAGATCAATTCATACAAAACCTATGTGCGCAGACTCTCCAAAATGTTGTCGTATCTGTATCGAATCCTCTAAAAATACACTGCTTTTGTAGGATCCGACACGCATACGGCGACATTTCTGAAGAGTGCGAGCATCAAAGCACAAAACAAGCAGAAAAGTTATACGCATAATGACAGATCTAGTACTGAGGTAGATCCAGAATTTTTAGACATCAAGCCCATTCATGACCATGGGTGTGAAATTAGTATGAATATATATATTTTTCTTAATCTCTTTTTATTTTGCCCCTATATTAAGCTCTCATCTGCCCCTGATAACAGAAATTACATGCATGCATGCACATGAAAGACAATTTAATCAAATCAATGATGCAAAGAGACATTAGACAAATTAAATGAGAAAACAAAAACAATAACAGACTATATTTGATATTTACTTACCAGAATGGGATGGTCAAAAACTGGTATGAAGAATAGAATAAGACATCATATGACCATACAAAAGCTTAATTGGAATGGCATGTGCTCGTACTTTTCATTCCCTTGCTTGATTTCTAGCTAATTGCGAAAGGATGTTGTTGAGGTTAGAATAAGACATCTTTACATATTGAGGAAAATGTTGTTGAGATTTCACTTCCTCGCTTGATTTCTAGCTAATTTTTGTTGCTTTGTTTCTCTTCCGAAAAAAAGAGAAGCTTTATTGGAAGGGGAAGAGCAACTTCAATGGTGAAAGTTTTGGGCTAGAAGATGGAAGGTTCTATTTTTCTTTTGTTAAAGAGTTTCATGGATTTTTCAGAATTCATTAAAATGAGTAATGATTCTGAATAAAAGATCACATGAATTTCCATAATATCATAAATAATACTGAAAAAGTGACTCTTCTTTGCTTATGTACTTGTCATTTTTGGTTGCATTCGTTTTCTCCCTTTAACCTATGGTTCCACCTGTGTTTTCGCTACTCAATTGTTCAGCTATCACTTTTTTTCCTTATATTTCATGCGTCCCCCCGTTTTCTTTTACTATTTTGTCTTTTTAGATTATATACTTTTTTTTTGCATTTATTTTCCTAAGGTGGATAATTTATGTAACATAACTTGAGAGTATAACCAATTCGAAATTTAAATTAAATGAGTTTAACTTTTAAAATTTTTAACATTAAATTCATGTACTTTTAGATGATATATAGTGGAAAAACTACAAGTACTTCATAGAATACTAATTATGTTATATGGAAAAAAATTGAAAACAAAAATCATATTCTCCACCCTTGATATTTTGTAAAAAATGTTCTCATTCCTTGGCTTTTTGGTACTTGCGTTGCGCTCTCCGCACAATAAACTTTCTAAAGCCAATCCGAAGCAAAATGGTTCGCCTGAGTCGAAGAAGCAGCCACTAATACTTGTATTAGGGTAGACATCTATATCACGTTTCTTGGCGTGCGCGTCTTTTTCCCCGGGTGTAAACGGAAAATAATTGTAATAAGTTTCTCATGATTCAAAGGAGTAAACCATTAATTAGTCAAAGTTGTTAATTGAAATCAACCGGCAGTTTTGTAATTACACATAAAAAAATATGAGGCCATAACAGAAGATTCTTTTCTTAATGATGTACGTTGTATAATGAGAAAAGGTAAAACCCTTGTTATTAATTAAGGTTTCACGGATACCTCGTATAGGTATTCAAAAGTTGTTCTTACAACGTGTGTGGCTTACAAATAACAACAGCAGTTGAAGAGCCCATGTCATACATTAGTATGCCTAATTATCTTCTACAAATTAAAGTTGACAATTATTGGTTTACTCCTTTGAATCATGTGAAACTATTACATGTGCTATACAATTATTTTGGAAAATTTGTGGATTGAGTAAATCCTTGAGGCCAGCAAACTGTCAGGATCTAGGCTAAAAAATATCGGTTTTAAAGAGGATGAAAAAGAAAATCATAGTCCATTCCCATTGCATTACAATGTTGGTATCTATTACATGTGTCTATTCTTTATTTTTTTTAACTCAAACAAAGTCTTTTATTAGGTTAAATCAGCAACCCGCAAGTTTACTAAATACAACTAGGAGTATACTCCCAATTGAAAGGACAAGTATATACTCCCAATTGAAAGGACAAGTATAATTTTTAGACTCTCTTGAACAAGCAATGAGCAACTAAATTTGCTTATTTCTTAACCCAAACTAGAGAAATATTAGGATTTCTTCTTAACAAGAAACAACAATCCTCTTAAAGCACTTAAAAACTCTGTAAAAGCTTTATTGAGGAGTTACAAAAAGGTATAATTTTCTCGGTATTACATTTAGCTATCCTCTATCAATCTTCTCGTGCCGAGGGTCTATCGGAAACAACCTCTCTACTATTCCGGAGTCCGGAATAGGGGTAAGATCTGCGTACACACTACCTTCCCCAGATCCCACTTGTGAGATTTCACTAGGTTGTTATTGTTGTTGTTGTTGTTATTGTTGTTACATTTAGCTATCCTCGGGCCATTAAAATGTTGAATCATCCAAACGAGAGCAAATGCAAACCCATAATTTCAGCATGCCTAGCATTGATACACCTCGAAAAACCAAAGAAGTTGCAGCAACAAACTGACCTGCTAAATTATGGACCGCAACCCCTCCTCCAATATTCCATTTCCAGGTATAACACATTTTGATATTGATGGAGAGGACATGATTGATCCTTTTTGCTATTTGCAACGTGTTGTATAAGGGTGTGTTTGGTATAATGGAAAACAAGTAATCTTACTCATTTTTTGGTGTTTGGTACGCAATTTAAGGAAAATAATTTCTCAAAAGTATTCATAAATAGTTTAGATATAATAAACATGAAGCCATAAACTTTCGAACCAACAACCTTCCGTACCCACAAATTTTATAAACTTCCGAACTGCTAAACTTTCGAACCCGTAAACTCTATAATTTATAAAACCCACAAACTTCCAAACCCATAATCCTCCGAACTAAAAATTATTTTTTGCCGTGCGCGGGGGGGTTGNGAAATTGTTTTCCTAACTTTTCTAGGGAAGTCATTTTTCTCCAATTTTAGGAAAATGTGATATCTAGGAAAATATTTTCCAAACTATTGTGCAACCAAACAGTGAGAAATTTTCGTCATACCAAACAGACCCTAAGTTATAAAATATTTTGTTTTTGCTTAAAAGGCCGTAATCACAAATGTATACTAGACCCATAAATCAAATGGTGAATAACACAATTAACCAAAAAAGCAAAACTATTTACCCTTAGGCCTTATCTACCCATTTGTTTTTCTACACATCAAACTAATTATATTTCCTACTCGTAGTAATTTTTGTGGAGAATTTTCTCTTTTTTCTCCAATTTTTTTTATTTCTATGCTTCTTTTCTTTTTTCTTTTTTTCTTTCTTTTCTTCTTTTCTTTTTTTCTCGTTTTCTTCTTATTTTTTCTTTTCTCGCTTTTATTCATTTATTTTTGCCCAAATCGTATTATTGTTATTTTTACCATAACTTATTTCACACTTAATTTTGACTCCTTCTTTATTTTTTTTAATTTCTTGTTCCTTTTCTACTACCATTTAACTCCTTTTTCTTTTATTTTCTTTATTTCTTGTTCCTTTTCTAATTTCATTTACTGTTTTCACTATTTTTTCTTATTATTTTATTATACAATTAGAAAAAATAACTGATATAGTAAATATTTGTTCACCTTTTAAAAAAAATATAACTGGTATAATATACCTTTTGTCTTTTTTCTTATTTTTTAAATTTAATTATTAAACTGAGATAATATCAGTTGTCACTTGATCTAATTCACTGAATATCACACTGACTGCTGCTGAGCACCATAAATTACATAATCAGATTTTAAGAATCAATACGTGATTGCTATGCAAACCTTGATCTTCTTCCCTACAAATATCAGTAGACACTCTATCATTAGCAATAATACAAAGCTATGGAGCAAGAAAACATAATCTACGGCCACCAAATCTCCATATATACTAGTTAGAATAGAAATAATAATAAAATATTGGAAAATGCAATAAAAATATAAGTAGCAAAAAAGACTTATAGTACTATATGATACCAATATGGTATACATGTATACCAACAGAGTATATGATTGCTCTAGAATATTGCTACAACTATCTGCGACTATATTACTATACCCAAACATTAAAGAATGCAATAAAAGTATGAGAAAATTACACGCTCGCATTGCAAGCTAAATATTTGCAAAGCAACTTGCTCATTCCGTATACTAACAAGGTATATAGTTGTATGGGGTCATTC